CTTTTCATATACCTGTTGATCATTTGCCTTTTTTATTTGTTGTATTTATCTTTTTGCTATTGAGTGTTTTTAAACTCATTTTGGATATTAACCTCATACATCACATATGGGACTAGAAAATAGTGTGTTTTTTATTTTCTGCTTTTCATTTCTTTACTTTGTTGTGACTCAAAGGTAATACAGTTCCTTGACTATAGATGTAGGTGACTGAATACTTCTTCTCAGAGTAACTGCAAAGTTCCTGAAGACTATTTACCCAACAATTCAAAAACTAAGGACAAAAGCTTAAAAGTTGCATGGAATAGACGGAAATGAAGATGTAGATTGGTAAAGAAAGAAATAGAAAATTGAGAAAGAAAGAGAGAGATTTCAAAATCTCCATATTTATGGGAAGATTTATATGGAAGGTTTTCATTCAGTAAATAATTAAGCATAAAATTAAGATTCTATGATTGTATTTCCTTGCTCATTCAGTTTTACAGACAGATTAAATTATAGAGAACATAGCATTGTGATACATGATCTATACCTAATTTAGACACTCTTTTGCATGTGAAACACATGTTTTCATTCAAATAAAATACCCCAATGCTGACAGTTGAATACATTAGTTTGTTAAAGCTGCATAACAAGATGTAAATGCATTTCAGTGACTTAAACAACAGAAATTTGTTTTCTCACAATTATGGAAATTAGAAGTCTAAGTTCAAGGTACCAGCAAGGTTGGTTACTTCTTTTTTATACAATCATAGTAATTCTATAAGTTAATGGAATTCACTGTGATATTCCTACATATGCCTGTCTCATGCTTTGATCATATTCACCCTCAATACTCCGCTTCTTGCCTGCCCCACCTCCACTTTCTGCATTCCTGTGCTCCTTCCTGAAAAGTCCAAATATATGTTTGCTTTATGAGATCATTTTTTATTTCCATACATGAAAAAGTATTTTCTATCCCAACTAATGGCCTTTACCAAACAAAACAGAAACAACAATAAAAATGAATGCTAGAGAGGATATGGAGAACAAGAACAAGGAAATGATTGTATACTGTGAGTGGGAATAGAAATTAGTCCAGTCACATTGCAAAACAGTATGGAGTTTCCTTAGAAGACCAAAAATTGATATATCCTGAAGTCCAGTTACACCACATCTGGCTATGCACCTGAAGGAAATGACGTCAGCTTATAAAAGAGACTCCCACATACCCATATTAACTCTGCACTGTTCACACTGGGTAAGATATGGAATCAGCTAAGGTGCCCATCAACTGATGAATGGTTATATGCTATAAATATATCCAATATATATCATATATATTGTGTCTGTTATCTACACAGTGGAGTTTTATTCTGCCATAAAGAGGAATGAAATCAGGTCATTTGTAAGAAAAAGGATGGAACTAGAATTTGATTATATATTTGATTATACATGAGGCCTCTCTCCTTGGCTTACAGGTATGCTGCTTTGCTGCTTACTTACATGAATTATTACTGTATAAAAATAACTGGTATCTCCATGTCTAAGTTTTCTTTTTTATAAGGACACCATCAGAATATTTGATATACATACACTGCAAACATCTCATTTTAACTTACTATTCTCTTGGCTCAATCTCTAAACCCAGGCAAATGCTCAGACACTAGATGTTAAAACTTCAAAGTAAATTTGGAAGAGTTCAAAATTCAGTTCATAGCAACAAGAATGATGAAGACCTTCCTGATAGACAAGACTAAGAATTATAGCTTAGAGGGAAGGAACAGATGATACATTCTAGGAAAGATTAATTAGGATCACTTGGAGAATCAATTATCAGATAAACTTAATGATTATATTGTGACTTAGATTCATTATGTCAACTTTGAATATAATATTACTAACATTACCATAACACCATTAACATATCATCCTGAAATTCCACATCTACTCTAACTGAGTCTTTTGAGACTGAGGAACATATTCCCGTACTGTTGTGTGGAAGGAATCTCAAAAGGCAATTGAGAAAGTGCATATATCCAGTTCAACAAAGGCATGCTAAATCACCAGAGAACAGGGAAAAGGGTGCCACTTCTAAGAACTGGCCTTTCTGACCAAAGGTAAGTACTTGGTTTGAAATTCAGTATACGTACCAGTTTGGCCACTCTGTGATTTTACCTACAGTTAGAAGGCAGATAGAATCTGACCTGACCCTTAATTGATTATTGCTGTACTTAACACATTCAGGTATATGTGCACACATACACACTTCCTGATAAATCAGAATCCATTTGATGATATATCTGTTGTTCATCTACAATTTGAAATGCGATATAAGAGCAAGGTTAGTTCACATACATTCTCACTTAAATGGTGGAGGATGTAAGGGGACAAAATATATGACAGGCTTTTTAATCTAATTGTTTTTCCGTCCTTTGCTTGCTATTCATGTTCAGGTGCCAGATGGTCACATTACTCCCATGGGTTTTTAAGTGAAGGGAGTGGTAACAAGCTGCTATGGAGTAAGAAACTTCCTAGTAAGTCATTCCATGTATGCAATGGGCTAAGAGGCTCTTAATAAGTCTTTTTTCAGTCATTCTATATAGGATGCATCTTCATGTGCCATTCTGTACAGGAGGCTTTAGAGTCATAAGCTCCTAAATTTATATCCCTACTATTTCATATTTGCATATTAACAGACAATTCAAAATTCTGGATGAATCTGAGACATGAAAATTAGTCTTCTCTCTTTTATTCTTTTTGTGTAGTACAATGTGCTTGGGTAGATTTTTCCCTGAAAATTGTGAGTTAGGTTAGAAGTAGACAATACTGTTGAGAAACATCTTCAATGAATAAAGGAAATAACCCATATGGTTATAGTAAATAGGTTATTTTTATACCTATTTATTATAGGCCACACATATATTAGGGACTCTCCTACATGATAAGCTATAGCAGCAAACAAAGGAAAGCACTTTGATTATTATGCTACACAATTTATCAATTATTCACCTTTTTGCATCAATGCAAAATGTGTTCTAATTTTCAATGTCTGTGTATTTCAATTTTCCATGACTCATATTAAAATATACTTAATAAGTCTCACATATATTTCTGTATAGGAAGATAATAGCATAGCAAGTTTCACAGTAACCCTTGAGATGATGGCTATAACCCAATATTTATACATTCTGAAAATAAGAATACTCATGTTTGAGCAGATTCATAAAAAATAGTTTACAAATATATAGAGCATAGCACTTTCTAACAAAGTGTGGAGCTCCTAAAGTCTGTAAGATTATAATGGTGAAATCAGTCATGTGGTTAATATGGTTTGATTGACTTCTTAAACGGATGAAAGCAAATGATGAGGGAAAGTGCGATAAGGTAATGTAAAGTCAACTTCTGGAACACCACCAGTTGGACTAAGAAACTGTGCTATTTGTGCTAATGAGAAAAGATTTATTATATAACAATAGTCAGATAAGTGGAAGTGTCTTTAATGTCACCAGTGAAATTATGTCTTCTCTGACGATCCACATTTGAAAGGACACCAATATCTAACTTCCTACCCAGTAGAAATATAACATCTAGAGGTTGTGGGTTTACACTGTAGTTACAGCACTTATTTTGACTTAGCTCAAAAACAAATGTTTAAAACATAGAAATAAATAACCATCTTTTTTGGTTTTAACTTTGTCCTCTGCTTTAATATGGGCTTATACCTATTAAATTACAACATATTTACATGAAAAATACTGAGTATTAATATTGCAACCTGCCATTTCAATAATGAGAAGGGGAGAGGGATAGTATTGGAGGAGATGAAACAAACTGGGTACATTATATGCATATATGGAAATGTCATGACAAAACCCCCTGTATGACTAATATAAACTAAAGAAACCATTTAAAATAGTCAGCTGGATACTAGGTCAATAATTGAGACAAAGTAATTTTTAAAAATATTTATTAGAAGTTAATCAATTTTTAAATGAAAATTGGGTAGTTTATGTAATTAAATACCTCCATTTAGCTTTCCTCAGAAATTTTTGGATCTTCAGGACTTATAATCTCTCAATGCCATAATATTAAAATTAAATTCATTCCAATGTTTAACATCCATAATATCATACAATGCATCAAACATGTATGTATTCCCACATCACCTAGAGGAAAGTAGAAAAATTCAGTGTTAGAAAAAAATGTTTTTAAAAGTTTTTAAATGAGTAAACAAATCATATTGTTAGTAAGGTATAGCAATACCTTAGGAGAAAATGGGAGAAAACAATTAAATACTTTTAAGACTAGTGAATACCTTAAAGTTTAAGAGCATATACTTTCTAATAAGAAAATTCTGAGTTCCATTATGAGCTGTAGTGTTCGCCAGCCCTGTGAAGTTGTACGTCATTCTAACTTCTCTGCTTCAGTTTCATCATCAGCAGCAAAAATATTATCATCTCACCTACCTTATGAGATTCTGCTCAGGAATAAAATGGTTAAGGATAGGGCTTTGATAGTATCTGGCAAATGGCCAGTGATACATTTTTTTCCTATTGGTACTTATAGTAGCAGGAAGAGTACAGTATATTGATATTCACTTACATATTATCACAATGTCTGACACATAGACATTCTTATTAACTCGTGGAGGGATATGATAGACAACTTACTTTAGAAATCAGACTGAACCAAATATTGGGTTGGATAATTTCTTGTGTATCTTCTATATTTGTTTGACAACCTGTCAGAAAACTACCAGTAATCTTACTAACTTTATTTTTCTCTTCTGTTTGATAAGGGACGGCCCTGAAATAAGCAGTTCATAAATGAAAGCTTTAATTTAAATCTCAGATTTTGACTTCAATTCTAGTATTGCCAAGTAACAGACTGAAGTCCCATAGTTCCTATTGTAATTTTATGGTTATTTAAATGATTAAAAATACACAAGCTCACTAATAATTGTTTACTTAATTAATGTATGGCTTATTATCTTAACAGAAATATAATTCAATTATTTTCCTACTTATGATGTTAATCAGGTCTTCCTCTTTGTGAACATGGAAGTGGGAAATCACACCATTCTGACTGAATTCATCTTGCTGGGCTTCTCTGTAGACCCTCAGTGGCAGTTGATTCTATTTGGAGCATTTCTAATGCTCTACTTGGTAACCTTATTAGGGAACATGACCCTGGTTATCTTAATTTGAACTGATTCCCGGCTGCATACACCCATGTACTTTTTCATTTGTGGTTTGTCTTTTTTGGATTTCTGGTATACCTCTGTGTATACCCCTAAGATATTGGTCAATTGTGTCTCAGAAGATAAGCAGATTTCCTTGTCTGGATGTGGGGCTCAGTTTTTTTTTTGTGTGTGTGTTGCTGCCTACACTGAGTGCTATCTGCTGGCAGCCATGGCTTATGACTGCTATGTGGCTATTTGTAACCCACTGCTTTACTCAGGTATCATGTCCACTTCTCTCTGTACTGGGCTTGTATCTGGCTCTTACATAGGAGGGTTTTTGAAGGCCATAGCCCACACTGCTAACACATTCAGACTAAGTTTCTGTGGTAGTAATGTTATTGACCACTTTTTCTGTGATGTGCTCCCTTTGGTAAAAACATCCTGTACAGACACCAAGATGTACGTGAAAATCCTTTCCAGTATGGTTGGCTTCACAGTCCTCTCCTGCCTTCTTGCTATTCTCATTTCCTATTTTAATATTCTCCTGGCTATCCTGAGGATCCACTCAGCCTCAAGAAGACAAAAGGCTTTCTCAACCTGTGCTTCCCACCTAGTCTCTGTCACACTCTTCTATGGATCCTTGCTCTTCATGTATTCAAGGCCCAGTTCCAAGTACTCCCTAGAGAGAGACAAAGTGGCTGCCTTGTTCTACACCATCATAAATCCATTGCTAAACCCCCTCATCTACAGCCTGAGAAGCAAAGATGTCAAAGAAGCCTTCAAGAAAGTAACACAGGCCGTAAGACCAGAAGTATCATGGTAATCTTTTATGTCTTTATTGCAGTTTTCAATGTATTGATGTGAAGACTTATTTGTGTGCATTTCTGTATTTCAATTAACTTTGAAGAGTTATAACAATGAAATTGAGTAAACTATCCTTTATGTAATTTTAAGTTCATGTTATTGTTGTAAAATGTGATATTTTTAGTCTTGGTGTGTTAGATTTTCTAAATAAAATTCATTCTTTTGGTCATTTTTGGGTTATCTTAGAAAGAAAAAGAAAAATTGAATGATTTTCCCAGTTAGTTTGACTTTGAAGTTTGAGGAACAAATTTTACTGGATAAGGAAATGATATGAAATGGGTAGATTGCTAGAAATTGCTCAAGATCTTACGTACATATTTTTCTATTTTTGTAATGTGTACTATTCAAATTTCTTCCTAATCATGTATTTGAAAATACAGAATATCTTTTTGCAAATCTGTACCTTCTACATTAACATACATACATAAACAATGATGTGCATAATTTTTAAGGTTTGTTTAGATTTAAAGAAAAATATTTTAAATTCACAGTGAAAGATATATTTTTATGACTTTCCATTAGTCTGAGTGTCCTCTCACACAGACAGTACTCCACAGTAATCTTCATGAGGTCAAACAGTGTAAGCCCCATGACAGCAATACATCAGCATCAAATAGAACAAAATGAAATGAATGAACTAACAAATACCTCCACTGTATTCTTGAACCAGAGATTTCTTTTTCCCCCAGAAGACTTAAACTCTGCATATTTAAAGATTATAAATTATGTATCTTACAAATTTTGAGCTTGAAGCTGAGACTTTAGAAATTTGTTATTGAAAAAAGTAAAGCTATTACTGTAATGAGTCTAATTATATTATGCACTGAAAATTTAAAATTTGGGACAAATGAGTGTAGCCATTCCCCCATTCATATTAATGATAATATTTCTTATGTTTTCTTTCTCCTGCATTCATTTCTCCTTTTTTTCACTCAAACATTCTTTTCTTCCTTATTCTTCTGAATTCACACAATCCTGTCAGTGCTTGACAGGAAGGATTTACACTGGATTCTCTGACTTTCTATAGTAATGTATTGTTATATTCACTTTCAAATAATACTTATCATCTAGTGGATAAAAGAGAAGTTGAGTTACTCTCAAGGGACAAGCCAAGTAAAATTCAATTATTTGATGTCCTAGAAATACATCTTCTATCCTTTGTAAATAGATCTGAATGCTGCTTCTTAAAACTATGTATCATTATCCAGTAGAAAGACTATTACATACTTAGATTATAGTAATATCATTAAAGGTAAAGAAATGAAATAATATAAAATAAAAATCTTTCTTGATTAATGTATTTTCATGCAAAATAAGAAGGATTTTAAAGAAATTCAGTTTCCTAATCTCCTGAAGCATTATGCTATCACTTAGCACTGATTTGAAATTATGTGTGTTTAGACATTGAATGGAGCAGAGAAGAATGTTTGCCTTCATTAGTATAAATGGGGACCATCTCTGTGCTTTACCTAAGAGATGTAGTTAATACTAAATAGGTATCTTTTGTACTTTGGTCATGGGATAGCAATTTTTTAGCCTTGGCATATTCATTTGATAACAAGAAGTTTCTAACATTGTGATGTGACTTTATCCATCTTTTTTTCAGAAACTATTTCTTAAGCTCATGTGCTTTCTAGACCCTGGGATATGGCAGTGAGGATGCTAGGTCTGATCCACATTCTATGGAGCCAGAGCCTTCATTCCAAGAATGAGTGAAACACATTTTAAAAAGCCTTGAGTAAAGATAGATTTTCAGTTAATGTTTAATGCTACTAAGAAAATGAGACTGGATAATGAGGTAAAAATGAACTAGAAGATGATTTAACTGAATTTAGATACTGTTACAAAAAAGTGATCCATTAAAATGGGCCAAACACCTTAATGCACATTTCTCAGAGGACATACAAATGCCAACAGATAAATGGAAAAGTGCACAATATTAAAAATCACCAGGGAAGTGCAAATTTAAATCACAATGAAATATCCTATCACACCTTTTAGAAAGGCTATTATCAAAAAAATAGGAGTTAATTTTCTAAGAGGTAATAGAGAAAAGGGAACTTTTGTACACTACTGGAGGAAAATAAATTACCAAAGTCATTTTCAAAGTGAAATCTTATCATTTGCAGGTAAATGGATGGAACTGGAAAGCATCATTCTGAGCAAAGTTAGCCAGATTCAGAAGACCAAAAATCACATGTTCCCCTTCATATGAGGACTTTATATCTAGGGCAAATGTAGCAATGTGATTGGACATGAATCACATGAAAAGGGGAGAGCACATACGGGAGATACAGGAATAGGTAGAAAACCCTTGAAAGGTTTTGATGTCCCTACTCCAGAGGAACTAATACAGAAACCTTAAAGTGACAGAGGTTAACATGAGAAGGTGATCAGGAACCAGTGTAAAGATCAGTTAGAGATGAGTCAACATGGGTTGTAACACATTTGTACATGAAAGCAATGCTAGGAATCTCCCTGTATAGTTATCCTTAACTCAACTAGCAAAAATGCTATGTCTTCCTTATTATGCTTATGTCTTTTCTTCAACAAAATTAGAGATAAGGGCAGAACAGGTTCTGCCTGGAAATGAGGGGGTGAGGGGAGAAAGGATGGGGAAGGGAGCCCAGGGGGGGAGAAATAACCCAAACAATGTATACATATGTGAATAAATGAATAAAAAATGGTATAGAGTTTCCTTTAAAACTGAAACATATAATGACCATTTGATCATAAAATTCCACTTCTAAGTATATGTCCCAAGGAAATGAAATCTGTATGTAGAACAAATATCTTCCCTCCTTTATTCATAGCAGAATATGTGGACTCAATCTACTCATACATCAATGGAAAAATGGATCAAGAACTCACTCAGTCTTAAAAAGAATGATGTTGTAACATAAATGACCACCTGGGTAAATCTCATGGACATTATGGTAAGGGAAATAAGCCACACATAGAAAAACAAATACTGAGTGGCATCACATATATATGGAATCCATAACACTTTAATTTATAAAAGTAGGTGTAGAATGGTGGTTACTAGAGGTTATGATCAGTGTGTGTGAATAGGGAAAGAGGACATGTTGATCAAAGGATACACAGTTTAGTTAGATGAAGGGAGCAAGTTTGGTGACCTGTTGCACAGTATGATAACTATAGTGTATATTCATGTACCACATATTTCACACTTGTAAAGGAATAGATAGATATGATAAACATGTGAGTTCATGGTTATGTTGCTAAGATAATTCTTGTGGTGTACAGATGATGACCAGGTTTTCTTTCACAAACACAAAGGAAGTTGTCCCTTAGTTACTCTGCTGGATCCTTTGGCACATTTGTTTTAAATCATAGGGGAGAACCAGATTTAAATTGAAGGCAGTCTGATTATGTCACATAGAAATGTGATATCTCCATTACTCTAGTAATATAGTCTTAACCACCTAAAATATAATTTGTGCTTATTTGTAAAGGAGAATAGATTTTACATTCATATAATTATTAAACTCTTTCATCATACACAAAAGTCCATCAAGACATTGGATGTAGATTGTGGATTATTATTCTTGGAAGAGCATAATCCATGGTCCAGGACATTTGGTCCTTATATATTAGGGACCCTTGATCATTGTAACAATAAAGAATACAACCACACTTTTTGAAAAAGCTCATTAAAGGATGCTAGCATTCCCTAACAAGAGTATACTTCAAATCTTTGTTTTATATTTATTGGATCCTCAAAGGTTTCCTATAGGAACTGGATGAAGAAATGGATAAAATGACTGAGAGATAGTACTAAGTGGTTAAATTACCTACAATGCTATAACATTCTAGCAACATTTTTCAGTAGTTTCTTGTGTTTTTAGTGTCCAGAAGCACTAGGAGTCCACTATTACAGAACCTCCACAAGATTTTTATCTGTTTTGCTCATTATCATAGGATGAATACATAGACTAGTACTAGGCATATAACAAGCAAGTAATAAGTATATTCTGATGGAAGGAAGGAAGGTAGGTGAAGCTTTGATCTGGAGGAGAAACAAGTCAGTAGAATTGAATTTTGGGCAAGCATTAATATTATTTTATTCTAAAACAACAATGGAATTATTTGATATCTCACTTTTTCTGATAACTGACAGATACAGGAAGAAGTGAAATATGTCCACAAAATGGTCAGTCTGTCCACATTTGTTTTTGCAAATCAAGTGTGTCTTGCAATCAAGTGTTCATCGCAGCACTATTCACAATAACCAAGCTTTTAAATTAACCCAGGTGCCCTAACAACTGATGAATGGATCAAGAAAAATATGGTATATATACACAATGAAGTATTACTCCACTACAAGAAATAATGATGTGTGTTTTGAAGGAAAATAGATGCAATTGGAGGACATCATGTTAAGTGAAGCAAGCCAGGCTCAGAAACACAAGGACTTCATGTTTTCACTTGTATGTGGTAGATAGATCCAAAATACAAATATATTCACCTAAACAAGCATAATCACATACAAACTCAGATGTAGAAAATGTTTGTAATAGTCGAACTACTCTATGGAACTCAGGGAAAGGAAAAGAGAACGATAGAGCATCAGTAATATCGTAAAACCTAAGATGTGAATGTAGAGGGTAAAAGGATGTGAATTGAAAGCCATTGAAAAATAGGGCCTGGGAAATCAAGGGGTAAAGGAGAGTAATGGAAAGTGTTGAATGGATCAAGGTAAAGTAAACCCACAATGGGCATACACTGAGACACCCCTTTAAATCAACTTAAATATTAATAATGAAAAACAAGAATATAAAATAGGTACAGTGCATGGAGGGGTACTAGGGAAATGGAGGAGCATGAATGAAGGAGAATAAGGTGACTTTATATATTTATAAAAACTATATATTTGTTTGTTATAGAACTAACAAACCTCTTGCAATTGCTTTAAGAAGGGCAGGGAGGGGGTTGACG